CTCTCTTTGTTCCTTAAAGACGTATTTTTCAAGTTTAACACACTTTAATAAATAATTTACAATACAAAATTTAGCATCTTCCTAATACTATTACCTTTTATTCAAATTCAAACATGTTTTAGGAAAGCAATCTATGATTTACACTATTGATATTGTAATGCAAAATTAATAATTTTTTTTTAAAATTTCTGTAATTATTTGTATTGCAATTTTTTTTATTAATGGATATATAGATTATAAATGATATTTCAATTTAGAAAAACAACAGCTTAAATAATTTTTTAATTTTGTACATAAATTTTAATTTTTTTGTCGAAAGTGATATTGCATCATCAAATAAAGAGTTGCCACATCAGCGGTAATGTAAACCACTTCCAAAAAGCAAGTGAATATGCCACTGACAGACTAGACTGATAACTTTGTATACTGCCGTCCGAGAAAGGTTTGCGCCACTTTGCGAAAGAAACGAGTGATGTGACTTGACAAAGGGTTTCGACTTAGATAAGAGCTAAAGGTAAGAGGGTTTCTTCTATAAATACTGAAATAGATCTCCATAAGAGGAAGTAGACTCTCTATTAGACATACTCAAGATGAGCAAAAGACCGATTGTAAGTGGAAAACAAAGAAAGAGATGACACTAAAGAACACTTTTCAACTGGACAAGTGAAAATTTAAAATACAATAGTAAACTAAAGATCCAGCTGTAAACTAGTAATTTATCGCTCAAAAGTCACCATTCATTGAACAAAATAGACTGTCTAAATGAAAAAAATACTTTGAGAAAGAAAGAACAACAGAAACAGCACTAAATAAAAACTCAAATCTACTATTGAAACCAACAATGGAACTAAACATATGAAGCCAATCTGAGCATGGACAAAACATAGCCTTGGTTCTTTCTAGCATAACAGAGAAATGAATAATTTTCTTTGAACATGTGTATCTTAATTAAAAAAAAAAATTGTCATAGATCTTGAGATTTCGATTCGCAGTCGGTTCTTTCTAGCATAACAGAGAAATGAATAATTTTTCTTAAACGTGTGTATCTTAATTGATAGAAAAATCATGGAATATTTTCATAGGTTTAAAGATTTTGATTCTCAGTTGATAGATACTGTATATCAACTGAGAAAATCCAAACCATTAAAACACTAATTTCCAATCGACCAAAAATTACAATGATTCCATGAGAATCCAAAAACCCAGATTTCTATCAATGGCTCCTATCAAAAAGGGATGTTTACAAGCTTAAAGGATGTTTTGATAGGAGCTATTCGTTTTGTCCATTGATTGATAGGAGCCAAAAAGGGATGTTTACAAGCTTAAGGAGGGAACAGAGGAGCATATATCGGTCATTGCATACCAAAGATGGCCGATAAACTGCACCTGGAACAGCGTGAAGATGGAGTCTCACCAGATACACTGAACTTTGTAACTTGGGTCGAGAATCATGATAGTTTTTAGAGAGATGAATGTCTTGAGAGCTTTAAGAAGATCTTCAAGTTTTGAAAAAAGGAGATTAAGTGGTCATGGACATGATGTCCTCTCTCGTGGCTTCTACTGTGTTTTTATAAGGAAGAAATCGTATTTTAGATAAAACCCTTGAAGATTTGAAATAAAGTAAAAAAGAAAATTCCCAATTTCTTCAGATTCAATGATTGATCGATCACCTCCTGTGATCCCTCGATCACTGTGTTAATTCTCCTCTTCGTCAAAAACAGTGGCCTTGCGATTGGTCGATCGCTGGTGGTGTTCGGTCGAACGCGGTTCAATATTCTGGAAGCTTCCAACTTGTATCTCACTCGCATAGATTTTAGTAGATTGAAGATATCTCGAGATCTAAGCGTTGAATTTTGGCGATCAAATATTCGTTTTGAAGTTAAAATCCTCCGCTATCTCGTGACAATATGAGCTTGATCTGACGGTCGGAACATCTTCATCTAGAGAAAAAAATCTGACGGACAAGAATTGTCTTTCTTTAAGAAGGTTTGATTTCCATTATTTTAGGCTCATAATGCTCCATTTTCATGTAATGACTTCAAAACCTACGAAAACATTAAAAATAGCCTTTAAAATCCTAAATTTAGTCATTTATTTATTAAATCATAAATAATATATAATAAAAGTAGTAAAATATGACATATATCAGTAAGCACAACATATAGAAACAATTATAGTCCATCGGATCATAACACGAATCATTGTCAATTTATATTGTGACTTATGTTATTATTAATCCCTTATATATTAATTGGAGAGTGATTTTT